TATATATATATATATATATATATATATATATATATATATATATATATGTATACATGTATATATATATTTTAAATTTTTTATATTTTTTTTATTACTCTTTTTTCCAATTTAGTATACTTGTAACTTGTTAATATAGATTTAGATAGATAGATCAGAATTTCTGGAGGTGGAGGCCTGGTGACCTAAAATACAGGGTATCCTTAGTTTAGGCTCCAGCCTCTACAAATTTTCCTGTCATGTTTTTTACTTTAATATCTTATATGTTTACTTAAGTTGTTACAAATTTGTGGAGGAAATAAAGAATTTACTTATTTACTTACTTACTTACTTACTTACTATATGATACGAGGGAATGACGGTCAAAAACGTAACTTTTGGAATTTTTAATTAAATAATTTCGTGGTAGAAACTTTTATCACACACAATTTGAATTTCGTTATTTTGAAACGTTTACAGTGCTAACTGCTAACTTTCAAAAACTTTAACCATTTACCAAAGATTAAAAATGCGTTCACAAATCGAGAAAGCATAGTATTCAGCTTCAGTGCTAGAGCTAGACCAAGCCACGTTTTGTTGTTTGTGACTATACCAATTCACAACGCAAAAGCCGAAACCCGGAAACTCTGAATATGACTTTCGATCAGTCTTCAGAAGACAGAAAATCTTCTTACTCACAAAATTTCGAAACAATCACAGACAACCTACATAGAAGGAGTGTCAGCAAAAAGGTTTTCCAAACACTACAACAACAAGTACTGGTTGTCATTGTAATAATCACTTATTATTTAAATTTAAGTCTGTATCACTTAAATAAATGTTATACAATGTTAAAAAATAATCTATACTAAGATACGATCCTTAGACTATGGAAACTTTTTTCCATCCTCTAAGATACGATCACAGATCATATTACGGAAATAAAATTTCGAATCGATTTCTCGTCTGATACTGATGTTTAGTTGACATCCCTGTTGTGTTGACGTTGCGTGCGATGACAAGTGTCAAAGTCAAAAGGTACCTACCTTTAGTTTTGTGACGATAATCTATTTTTTTCCATCCTCTAAGCGATAATCTCACCACCGCTCTACATGTCTTTCAACCCTGACGTTGGCGAAATCGTCGCGCAAAACGACGGAGCCATAGATACAAAAGTTGAAGTTGAATTTGACTACTATATCTATAACACAGAAAGATATAGTAGGGATTAAATAGTATTAGTTTGTGTCGTGCACTTTCTGTGATTTTGATGAATATAAAATATTTTTCATATAGTAAAGTAATGCACTTCTGAATTTAATTCTAATACCAGTTGATAACCTGTACAATGTTACCTAGCTTCAGAAGAGCTCCTACTGTTATATCTAACCTATCAGAGAGAGTCAAATTTCCCGAAAAATTTAAAGGTACTATGATTGAAAAATGGGCCAATTACTGGAAGAATTTGATGGTAGACTATCGCCAAATGCTAATGGACTTACGGACGGATATTCAAGATGAGCCTCGAAAAGCGTTTATTTGGACAACTGGACTAATTGCTGTGTATTTTCTGCATAAAAACAATCCTAGTGAATTAGATTTCAAGGACGCTTTGAAGAGGGTGGACAACGAAGTAGTCCTGGTCACAGCAGATTGCCAAAATCCTAAATCCAGTGAACATTTACGTTACCTAGATACCTGTTACAATCAAGGTCTTCTTCACTATAGAAACTTAGGCATTCTATCACTCATGTACACATCGGATGACAGTTCTTCATGTGATCTGTATAGAGCACAATGTAAATATTTACAACCAACCATGCTTAGCTTTCCTTCACGGATTGTCGATGTAGGCTTTATGGGGAGATGGTGGAATATTTTCATTAAAACTAATAACTATGATGTCAATATTTAAGAATTTGCTAAAAATAACTGTTATTAGAATATCTGACTGGCTTAGTTACCTGTTGAATTGAAATCAGTAGTTGTTAATTCTTGTTATTAAATGAATAAAACAAAATATCTGTTGAAGAGAATGTTTGTATTTCGTTTCTTACTAATAATGTTAAAACAATTAAATGTATAAAAACTAAGAACTTCTCACAAATCATCTCATGCATGAGGTTAACTCCTAAAATGCAAATCTAAAAACATAAATCACCTACTAAGTGAACCCTGAAAATATATACTCTTCTATAAATGTTTCCAAGAATGAACTATTCCTGAATTGAATGACAATAAAAATAAACAAAACCATACATTTTCACACGACCACGTCTTCGGGAAAACAACGCAGCATACATGTTTTTCACATAATTTTTGGAACAAATAAAATTAATGTAACCTACCAATTTAGGAAAAATAAACATACATCAGTACTCTTCTGGCAACGTTGTGCCAGAGATGTATTACAAATTACAATCACACCACAATTGTTGAAGCAAAAAAACATGTAAGCTGCAAAGAAAATTAATCACAAGAACACAAAATGGAGCATGCATGGCACTCAACTATGCTTTCAAATTTAACTTTGCGCCAAAATGAATCACAAATTAAATTGTTTGTCAAACTACATTTGTCCCAATCAACAAAATCTTCTCTCCTCTTTTGCATAAAATTAAATGTTATTCTATGTTAAAAAATCTTAAAAAATATAAATAGTCATTGATTTTCGACAATGTGATTAAAACAAAAGCATTCTTTAGTAAAAGAAATAAAAACCACCACTTTGATTATAATGCATTATGTTCTTAAAAAGGATAAATATAATAAAGTTACATTAATGTAATAAAAAAACCTGAAAAATGGTTCTAAACTGAAAAACTTCTCGTCAAAATGAATGTGGATATAGAAAATTTTCTTATTACCACATAACTATGAATGAACTGAACTAAAACAAATGATAGCATTCAGCAAATAAAACGTTATTTATATATAAAAAAATTTCATACAAAGTTTCAATCAACCATTGATGTGGATTACATTATTGATGACTGATGCGAAAATGACTTGTAAAACAAATGCTAATAAATATTATGCAGTTACTGGAACATTTGGAAATAAACTAATAAAATGTTTGCTTTCTTTTGGTATTAATGGCCGCTGAATATGAGTACTGTTACATCTAAGTATGTAGCCTAGTTAAGTCATTGACACCATTCTCAAAGTGCATTGTTTACTTTGCCTTATGGAATTGAAGCAAACCTTTCACTACCTTTTGAATATAATTTCCTAGTTTATTAGAATCTGTAATCAATAAATCACATATCACAGAACTGGGAGTGACGCGATGATCTGTCGGTTGATCAACAGAGCGTCATAACTAATCTTCACAACAGGCTATGGCTAATGGCAACAATAATGGAAACAGCGTATGAAAGCAGGCAGTATTGTTCTATCTATAAATTTATAATATTTTATACAAATCAACACTTGTTTACAGAAAATTAATAGGTACATGAACAATTCAATTTTATCACATATAAGTTTCAGACTTAGCTTAGAATTACAGGGTAATATTCAGTATATTTTACACAATTATGAGGAAAACAAGAATAGAAGACAGTAAAAATAGTTAGTTACAGTATTATACTCCATCACAGCTAAGTACAATCATACAGCGTTTCATTTTTATAATAATAACAGACAACAAAAAATGTGAAAGAACGAAAATTTTTTAAATGAGACTTACAACAGACTACGAACTAAACAAACAAAAAATAACAATGAACCATCTCCTCTCCTCCATTTGCATTGTTAACTCTAAAAAACATGCATGATTCAATACAAAAATAAATATAACCAATTCATCTTTTAAAAGAAAGATGAATATAATGAACAAATTAATCACTTCTAAAAATACGTAAGTACAATGAGGAGTAAGGTAGTTGTTAAGTACATTCTACCCGGAGTTTGGATTGGCGTGGCGATGAGGTTCCGTAAAGCGTGAGTAGTAACTATAGTAGGATGATATCGGGTCCGTGGAGGCCGTAGGCGTACATTCCCTCGTAATCATCAAATTCATCGTCTAGGTATAACTCGTCGTCTGAAAATATAAATGAAAATATTTTTTTTTGTAACCTAATACACTTTCGTCATAATGAGAAGAGCATACTAGACTTTTTTCTTTGTTCGTTTTTTTACGACGAATTTCAACACGCTGGACCTTATTTATATGCATCAGCATTTAGCGCGCTGATCACACCTCATACAAAACATACTTTTCATATTGGTGCGGTTCTAATTGTGCTGACTACACTTAGTCGATTTTGAGACGGTTTTTGCACCACGCACACAATGCACCACGTAGGAATTAATGAAATAGGGATGGTACGGCGACTGAATTAAAAAATGGGTGTAATCACATTTTTCCAAATAAAGAAATTTAAATTTGAAAGTAGCTAAGTAATAATAATAATAATAACGCACACACTCAACATAGCCCCGCACTAGGGAAACCCTGTGTCGCGGGTGCCATGGACACACACATAGACAACCACAAATTACACCCAAACTCACGAGAGAAATAAATGTAGGTCATACAAATATTTCGCCCGGCCCGGGAATCGAACCTGGGATCTCTGCGTGGCAGTCCGGCATGGTAACCGTGCGGCCGCGGAGGCAGTTAAAGGCTAAGTGTTACACATATGTCACATTAACTATATAGCGAACATGTAGGCCGTATTAACATGTCAGTAATCAACTCTCTGTCTCCTAATGAAAGGGTCTCATAAAATTCATTTAGTAGGTATGTAAACCTCATATCGACATTATCAATGAGTCAGGAGGCCTACTATGAGTTTATGAAGAACTAACTTTGTTCCATGCAGTACAGTTTACGTGGTAAAACTTAACTGTTTAAATTCACTACAAAGTCAGAAGCCACAATATCATTTTTAGATTAGGTTGTTATTTTTATTAGTTTTAATTGGTATCTTTAAAGAGTTTCTATTTTTGTGAACGGGAAGATACGTAAAACTCCTTAGTATGAGTAGTCTTTGTTTAATTATTTTTTTATATATATGTGCGTACTAAAGTAGGGTATAAAAAACATCTTACAAATAATGAGACCAAAAACTTAATGCTAAAAATGAATATAATTTAAAGATAATGGTCAGTACAAGGTGGTTTCTATTTTAAATAAAACTTGCTTTAATACACTCGTAAACCATTTATGTGTTTATTGTAACATTGGAGGGTCCACATATGGACCAACAATTTCGGTAACGTTGATCAAAATAACGATTCTGGTTAAGGGTTAAGCTTTTCAACAAATACGGCGAAGTTGAAAACAGCTATAGTGAAGCCCATAAATAAAAAAGGAGAATATCAAAAATTATAGTCTAGTAACTCTTCTACCTGTTATAAGCAACATTTTTGCGAAAGCGATATAAAACAGACTCTATTCATTTTTAACACATAACAATCTTGCAAAACAACAAAAAGGTTTTCGTATGGTTAAACCTGTTACGGAAAATTTAGACGCAGATATTCATATGTATGCTATTTATATGGATATGACTCAGGCCTTCGTTAACATGGAGCACAGTACATTAATGGAAAAAAATGTTCCATTGTGGTTCAGAGGTAACGCTCATAATCTAATTAAATCATATTTGACCTATAGAAAACAACGAGTAGAACGAAATCAGACAAACGTTTTGGCAGGGGTTGACGAAAAATACGTGTCAGGATGGAAAAATGTACCGCGCGGAGTGTAATGCTGACATTACTGCTTGGCGACAGAAACAGGTAAGGTGGCAGTACTTCCCTGGACGAACTGTTTCGCAAGGAGCTCTATTGCTACTAAATTGATTCAGTTGTACAGATTAGGTAACGTTCTTGCTTACTGTTTAACGTTAATGTTTATGTACCTGAAGTTTGGTTATTGGTCAATGTGACATTGATATTGAAAAGTGTGACCATTTGTTGCAGATTTAATTTTTATTCATTTTCATAGCTGCAGAACATGATAAGTTATATTAAACCTGGCTGAGTTTGGCAGATTTGAGAATATTCGGCAAATTCTTTATTATTTTTGGGAACAAACTGAAAACTTGTTATTTTCTGCTACTACGAACAAACATCTGAAGCGAAATACAGGACAACGTTATAAACATAACCTATGTCACCTTTATAACCCCAGCTTCTACAGGCTGTACTCAATTAGCTTTTTTGATGCTTTGATAATTAATCGCAAGTATTGATAGTTCTCCTTAATAGACGTCGTCAAACACACTGGGTCACAAAATACACGGGATGTCGCCATCCTTCTTTAACATAAGCTATAACCATAATATAAATGACAAAGTGCATAAATTTCTAGGACTATGTCTTGAGAGAGTCACTGTATACATGTGTGTAACAAACTATATAAATCTTCATTTGTTCTCTATGGACTTTACAAAACCAACAATAGCCATAGTGTTGATACCATGGTTTTGTGGAATCGAGTCTACGGTACGGAGTTATTTTCTGGGGAAACGCTTTGTATAGGGAAGTCGTTCTACAAGCTCAAAAGCGTTGTGTGCGATCTATTTGCGGCCTTATGATAGCTGTCGACCATTCTCTAATGGTTAAAAGTGCTAACGTTCCCATATCTATACATATTGGAATCATGTACATTTCCAAAATCTAACCCCCAATTCTACAAGGAAAGGCGGGATTTAATTTACGCCCTAGAAATTCTCTAATGATTACCCCTGGCACCATCTCTTGTAAAATAGCTCTCTAAAAAAAAGCGCCCTGAACATGGTGCCTAAACTCTACAATAAACTGCCACAAAGGTTAAAAATCCTGTTCATGTTCAGGAGGGAATTGTCAAGGCTATTGATTAAAAAGTGCTATTACATGGTTGATGAATATTAAAATTTAAGTGACAATATGGTGTGAATTATAATTTATATGTATATAATTTAATATTGCATAACTCTATTATGCAATATTAAATTATATATTGATATGAATTTAAATTTTCTTCTGACATCGAATAGAATTATTACGACCTTGAAATGTATTTATAAATGAATTAGATTGGACATTTAAATTTTCGTATGCCTCTGTAAAATGTGCATTATAGCTGTGTTAAATAAGTCTTTACTACCTATGATGACGAATAAATATATAGATCGATGGACTTTTCTACGAGTATCATACTTTACAATTTGTCGTGACTTGTTATTATCATAATTGAAATTACATTTTTATTGTAAAGAACTCAATCATTGTATTGCAATTTATAACAATTTCTGCACAATGAAACATCAGTTTCCACACAACACTATATTAGGTAATTGAGTGCAACACTATTCAGATTTAATAAAATCTATGAGTCTGCGCGACAGTCGTGTATACAATGACAATAAGATAATGTCCACTAAAAACTCAAGTAAAGTAATATGGCAAATCGTAAACAAAGAAGTTTTGACTACAATTAAATCACAAAATGTACAAATAACGCATAATGGAAACCTTGTACAGACTGATAAAATTCCAAATTGTTTCAATGATTACTTCCTTACAATTACTTCAAAATTAGATTTACATGGTAATTGTGAGAAATCTCTGTCGTTAATTAGAAAGTGTGTAGATGAGTGGGATGTTCCCCAGTTCAACCTTCCAACTGTTATTGTGACCTATTGGAGAGGGTGGTGAAGGGAATGTTGCATGCATCAGAAACACTGGACATATACGATATTTCCATGAGTATATTAATGTCTGTCTGGCCAATAATAGGGAACATACTCGTAACCCTTATAAACGAAATGTTTACGTTTACCTTCGGTAAACATTTCGTTTACTTAACAACCGTCTCCTGTCGTACCTTGAAGACAACGATCTCCTCAGTGATCGCCAATACGGATTCCGAAGAGGTCAATCTACTGGGGATCTTCTTGTGTATGCCTCTCACTTATGGAGCGAGGCTATAGAAGAGCACGACGAAGCCATTGCAGTGTCTTTAGACATATCTAAGGTCTTTGACAGGGTCTGGCATGCAAGCCTTTTAAGCAAGCTTCCCTCTTATGGGCTTCCTACTGACCTTTGCAATTGGATTTCGGATTTCTTGAGTGAACGTTCGATTGGAGTGGTCTTAGAAGCCTACTCTTCCGAACATAGGGCGATAGATAGTTTCTCAGGGTCCTGTACTGTCCGCAACCCTCGTTCTGCTGCATATAAACGACATGTTGATTCCAGGTACCTTTGGGTATGCTGATGACAGCACAGTTGTAGTCAGGTACTTGACCAATGCAAGGGTCAGTGGAGAAGAAATCCTTTGACACAATTTGAATTTGACACTTAAAGCAATGTCCGATGCCAATCTTGTCAAGTTTAATGCTACCAAAACACAGGCGTGTCTTTTCTCCACTAAACGGAGTTCCTTTCACCTGACTCCGACTTTTCGTGATATATCCGTACCGATAGCTGACCGTCCTCACCTACTTGGAATGGACCTGTCGTCCAATCTGAACTTCGGCAGTTACATTGAATCCGTGGCCAAAATGCAGCCAAGAAGCTTGGCATCCTTTCCAAGGTGAGGCGATACTTCACACCGGGACAGTTGCTTCAGCTGTACCAAGCACAAGTCCGACCGTGTATGGAGTGCTGCTGCCACTTATGGGATGGCTCTGCTAAATACCAACTGGCCACCTTGGATTCAATGACAAGCGTGCTAAGAGGCTTATAGGTGACTCGGAACTAGTAGAAGCGAAGCTGCAGAGCCTTGAACACCCACCGCCGTGGAGTTGCCAGCTTATCGGTATTCTACAGGATATATCACGGAGAGCGTGCGATGGAATTGCGGCTAGGGAGTGGAATTCCCTGCTTACAGATTTGTTCCCCGAACGCTATAACTTGGAGCTTTTCAAGACGAGAGTGAATAGGCATTATTTAGGTGTGCATGCTACATCCTCGACCTCATCGTCATTTTCCATCAGGTGAGATGGAGGTAAAATACGCACTTATTTTTTATATAAAAAAACAGGGATTTTTGGACCCTCACTAGGGCGTTCGATGTAATTGGGAATGAATTACTTACACAAAAATTAGCAATATATGGTATCATCACCATCGGCATCCCTCAAGGATCGGCCTTGGGTAATATGTTGTTCCTGATGTTCATCAACGATCTTGCGTACTATATATCGGAGGGCTTGGTAGTTCTCTTTGCAGATGACACTACTGTTATAGTCTGTGCTAAAAGCTTCACAGAATTGGACGATAAAGTAATATACACGTACAGTCAGCTTTGTGAATGGTTTTCTGCAAATGGGCTTACTCTAAACACGTCTAAGTCGAACCAAGTGTTGTTCTCACGAAGAAATCTCGTATCATGCCCAATAGTCTCGTCTGCGGTTCCACTTTGCAACACATGCAAGTTCTTGGGCTTCACTATA